CAATCTCTTCCAGAGAAGAAAGAGATGATTTTTTTGTGCTGTGTTTATAACTCTCTGGAGCATCTTCTTATCCTCTGCAGAGCATCCAGTATACCACACCGTTACACAGTATGCCAAAATGCTCTCGATGGTAGAACGGTAAAAAGTAACCAGCAACTTCTCACCCAAACCACTCTTTCAGCAACCTTAGAAAGTGTAGGCACTGTTGGGCCTTCTTTGCAGTGGCCACAGTTAAGTGTGAGAACTGCTTATAAGTTTTTTCAGGGCTCTTGCAATTTTGAACAGTCGCTAAACAAATAATTGGTAAGCCGAGAGCTACTTATACAGTATTTATAATCCATTAAACTTGATTATGCCCATCTCAGTGGGACTGCTTCTTTATGTTTGCTCCAGGTTTTCTGCTATCAAAACAGATGTTGAGACATGTTTGGAAAAAGTGCAGAAAAGAGCAACTAAGTTGATTAAAGGCCTTGATGAAGAATGGTTGCAGGATTTAGGTTTGGCTAATCTAGAGGGGGAAAAATGACTAGGGGAGACACGATAGCAGTATTCCAGTATTTGAGGGGTTGCCACAAAGAAGGGGGGGGGTCAATTTATTTCCCAAAGCACCAGAAGGCAGGACAAGAAACAATGGATGGAAACTAATCAAGGAAAGAAGCAACCTAGAATTAAGGTGAAACTTCCTAACAATTAACCAGTGGAACAACTTGCCTTGAGAATTTGTGGGTGCTTCATCAACTTGTCTGAAATGGTATAGGTCTCCTGCTTGAGCAGGGGGCTGGACTAGAAGACCTCCAAGGTCCCTTCCAGCTCTACTCTGATTCCTTTTTTATTTTATTTTTTTATATATTTATTTTTAGGTAGGTTTGGGATTGCAGACTTCATGTTGAGAATTATGTCTATGTTATTTTTTTGAATCATGTCTTGAGAAATTTATTTTTGACTATGCTGTTGGAAGCCTCTGGAGATAGTTTATGATAGACAATAAGGTTTTGAGGTACCTTAGAAACATGCCAGTTTATATTTACATAAGCATTGGTAGGCCATCAGGTAACAGGCAAAAGTCTATGTTGTTATTTTCTCTGCAGCCCCAGTGTTCACAGTAGACAATGTCTCAATTCACACATTGCACTAAGCCTGTAATGAGTTTGATTTAGGCTTAGCATATTATATGAATCCAGCCATTGTGGGTGGCGAAGTATAATTTATAGCTTGAGCAAAGTAGCCAATTGTGTCTTATCAACAAAGCATCAATACATTTGTACTTTGAGTATTGCTATTTTAGTGTCAAAAATGATTATTGTTTGCTATTTTACCCTCAAGCTGAAAGGCTGGGTATATATAATACTTTGGATTTTATTCTGGAACGTTGCATCAAAGCGTATAGAAGTCTTCCAGGATCCCAATAAAACATGCATTTTAAAAAAAAGAGTTACAGAGAGGTCCTC